TTCAAGGTGAGCTACAATTGTCAAAAGGACTCATGGTCCCTTAATGAGCTCATCTCACACTGTGTTCAGGAAGAAGAAAGACTGAAGTATGAGAAGACAGAAAGTACTCATTTAATCACCACCTCTAAGGACAAAAGGAACAAGAAAATGAAGATTAATAAGGAAGCTGCGGGTACGACACCGCAAAAGAATTAGCATAAGGAACCAACTGAAGGTAGTTGTTTCTTCAGTGGAGCTGCAGGTCATAAGAAGAAGAATTACACCAATTACCACACATGGCATGTAAAGAAATGTATTCTTCTTCATTTGGTTTGTTCTAAGGTTAATTTAACTTTGGTACCCAGACATACATGGTGAATAGAGTCTGGTGCAACAACTCACATCAGTATGTCTATGTAGGGTTGCCTGAGTTGCCGAAAACCAAGTGATGGTGAAAGATACATCTATGCAGGCGACGGCAAAATGGTAGAAGTAGAGGCAATAGGAAAATTTAGATTATTGTTAAAGACTGGATTTTATTTGGATCTTGTTGAGATATTTATTGTACCGTCTTTTAGACGGAATTTGATTTCTATTTCTATTTTGGACAAATTTGGTTATACTTGTTCATTTAAAAATGAAAAATTTAGTTTGTTTCATGATTCAAAATTGATTGGTTCCGGTTCTTTATCAAGTTACGATAATCTTTATTCAATTGATACAATTTCTTCTTTTAATGAATCTCTGCATGTAAGTACTCGAGGTGTAAAGTGAAAATTAACCGACGAGAATTCTGGCTCGTTGTAGTACAAGAGATTAGGTCACATCTCCAAAAGGAGAATTGAGAGACTTGTGTCTGACGGGATTCTCGACCCTCTTGACTTCACAGATTATGATCTATGTGTCAACTGTATAAAGGGAAAACAAACCAATAAAATGAGATTTCAAGTCAATAGGACTTCGGACGTTTTAGAACTTATACTTACAGATATTTGTGGACCATTCCCTACGAGTTCTTGTAATGGTCAACAATATTTTATAACGTTCATAGACGACTTTTCAAGATATGACTACATATATCTCATTCATGAAAAATCACAGTCACTGGATGTGTTCAAAAATTATAAAGTTGAAGTTGAGAACCAACTCGGCAAAAGGATTAATAGCGTCAGATCTGACCGTGAAAGTGAATACTATGGCAGATATGACGGTTCAGGCGAACAACGTCCAGGACCATTTGCTAAATTCCTAAAGGAATGCAGTATCGTCCCACAGTACACTATGTGGGGTTCGTCCACTATGAATGGTGTTGCTGAGAGACGAAACAGAACACTTAAGGATATACTTAGGAGTATGATTAGTCATTCTACCTTACTAGAATCTCTCTAGGGTGAAGCATTAAAGACCGCAGCTTATATACTCAATAGAGTTCCAACTAAGGCAACTGATAAAACCCCATATGAGCTTTAGACAGGCAAGAAGCCTAATTTGAAGCATATACATATTTGGAGGTGTCCAGCTGAGGCAAGACCCTATAAGCCAAATGAAAAGAAACTGGACGCAAAGACGATTGGTTGTTATTTTATTGGATATTCTGAAAGGTCCAGGGATTACAAGTTTTATGATCCCACAACTAAGGCAATTTTCGAGACAGGAAATGCTCGATTTTTTGAGGATGTTGAGTTTGTGGAGGGGGGGAGAAAGGGTTACAGGCTTTGTCTTTGAGGAGGAATATGTTGAAATTTCTCCAATTGTCATTGAAAATGATCAGGTTTCTATCCCTAATATTGTTCAAGAAGCAACTTTGGATCAAGACAATGTCATACCTCCCTCTCAAGATCAACAAGTTGTTCTAGAAGAACAAACTCTACAGCCTCAAGAACTAATGCCATCAAGAAGATCCACTAGAGAGAGGAGAAGTGCGGTTTCGGATAATGACATCGTATTTCTCTAAGAACATGAAGTTGACATTGGAATGGTGGAAGATGATCCGATCAACTTTCGTCAAGCCATGGAAAGTTCTAACTCTCAAAAGTGGCTCGATGCCATGAATGAAGAGATGAAGTCCATGAAGGACAATGACGTATGGGACCTCGTTCCATTGCCTGAAGGTGCAAAACCCATTGGTTGCAAAATGGATATTTAAGACCAAGAGGGATTCGAAAGGTGATGTAGAGAGGTATAAGGCTCGTCTTGTCGCAAAGGGCTTTACACAGAAAGAAGGCATCGATTATAAAGAAACTTTCTCTCCGGTTTCTTCGAAAGACTCTTTCAGAACTATAATGGCTTGGTATCGCATTTCGATCTTGAGCTACATCAGATGGATGTTAAAACAGCGTTTCTCAATGGTAACATTGATGAAACAATTTATATGCTACAACCTGAAAATTTTGTATTGGACGATGCAAAGCAAATGGTTGTAAGTTAAAGAAATCCATCTATGGACTCAAACAGGCGTCTCGTCAATGGTATTACAAGTTTCATCAGGTGATCATCTCATTTGGTTTTGAGATGAATTTGGTCGATGATTGTATATACCATAAGTTCAGTGGGAGCAAGTATATTTTTCTGGTTTTATATGTCGATGACATATTACTTGCCAGCAACGATATAGACTTATTGTACGAAATCAAGAGATTTTTAACAAAGAATTTTTAGATGAAAGATCTTGGTGACGCCTCTTTTGTATTAGAAATTCAGATACAACGAGATCGTTCTCGGGGTATTCTTGGATTATCACAAAAGAGTTATATCGAAAAGGTACTTAAAAGATATGGCACGCAAGATTGTAAACCAGGTGACAACCCTGTGGCTAAAGGAGACAAGTTCAGCTTAAATCAGTGCCCTAAAAATGACTTGGAAATTAAAGAAATGCAGAAAATTTCTTATTCCTCAGCTATAGGGAGTCTAATGTATGCTCAAATTTGTACACGTTCGAATATAGCGAACATTGTTGGGATGCTAGAGAGATATTTAAGTAACCCGGGAATGGATCATTGGTAAGCAGCCAAACGGGTCATGCCGTATTTACAGAGAACAAAAGACTACATGCTCACATATAGGGGATCGAATCAGTTGGAGATCATCAGTTATTTTGATTTTGATTTCGTGGGATGCCAAGATAGTAGGAGATCCATTGCTATGAGGCATCAAATCATGGAATATGGCTGCGTAATTTTGTCACTAGGCTATGCATTGTAGACAATATAGAAAGACTGCTCGAGATATTTTGTGATAATAAATCAGTAGTGCTGTATTCCAATAACAATAGGAGCTTGACAAAGTTGAAACATATAGAGATCAAGTTCCTAACTGTTAAAGAAAGAGCTCAGAGTGGACAGGTGTCAACAGAGCACATATGGACAAACTCCATGATTGCGGATCCGCTCACTAAGAAATTGATACCCAATGTCTTTCATAAGCACACTGCTCATATGGGTGTAATGTCTTTTGAAAATATTTAATTTTAGTGGGAGTTTGCATTTTTGTGCTAGACACATACACTGTCATTTTGGATACGGTTTAAGGTTAAAGTTATTTTCGGTTATAAGGTTTATTTGGTTTATTGTCTCTGAACTTATTTAAAATGATCTCACTAAGGCATTAAGGTGGACCGGTTGGAAATAGGCATGTTACAGATCACATCACATGTAATTTTCATGCTACACATCCATACCTAATCTATGTCATTCAGTTATATCGATATACGTGATCATTGATGGGTTTAGCTACATGAAAGTAACGAAAGCCGCTTTGATCCTATGTTAATATGATTGATGGACAAGATTATTTGGGGATGAATTTGGTAATGACAGCAAAATTTTGAGTACTCATGAGGTTATATTTAATGCACAATTATAAGGTGACACATATAATCCAAGTAAGAGATTGTAAGGAATTTTTAAACAATCGTGTGAGTTTATATGTGTAAATTGTTGTGTATAAAATTAAAGGCTATTGAATTCGGTTGAGCCCAATTAAAGTGATCTAATAAGGCTTCGATTTTGGGTTTTAATGTATCCAATCAAAGTATGAGTTTATATATGTGTAGAGACCGGGCCCAAGTCCTAATTCTATGATGGGCTAAATTAGGTCAAAAGACATCACTATATAAATATGGTTATGGTCCCCAAATCACACGTACATATTATTCATTCTCTACCGCATCCCATCACAAAGAGAAAAAGGAGACTGCGTGTAGATTTGGAAGACAATACCGCGTAATTCATTATTGCATTAACCATGTCTGATTCAAGTACGCTTCCGCTATAGTTCTTCAATTTCTTGATGATTTAATGTGAAAGATCCGGTGATTTAAAGCAATAAATTATTCTACATTAACTTCATAGGGTACTTTTCCAGTGTGTGACTTGAATCACTTGTATTAATTGTTGAAAGGAAATAATAATAATAAAAGTTGGAAAGTAATTAATTTCTGGATTATTTTTCATTTTCACTTTTCTTTCTGTAGTCAACTTCGTTGAAGTAATTAGAGCATTAAGATTGCGAGAGACCTGGCACATTCATTACATTGTATCCTAATTCATTCACTGTTTGGTTACGTACAAAGGAGGTTAAACGTACTTTTAATTTAATTGATTTGTGCAACGTAAATTTCAAATTTACTTTTATTATTACCAAAACTGCATCTTTAATTTTTAACTTAAGTCTTAAAAAAATTCCATGAAACTGAAAGAATTGATATCATCTTAATGATTGGAAAATTGCTTATAACATTGCAAAAGACCAAACCTTTTTTGAGTTGCCAAACACATCTTTATCTCTTTAAGAGGGGGGAAAATGAAAAATAGTTGAAGCCCGCACCATTAATTAGCCACCGCCTCTACCTTCTTCCTACTAATATCACAACACTCATCAGCCTCACTCCCAAACTCCCATCCGTTTTTTCTTTTTCTTTTCCCATCCAAACATGGAAATTTCGTTCACTAGTTGTACATAATCTCGTTCTCTTTTTGAGATTTGGTGAAAAATTAAACAAAAAAGTGGAAAAAAAAAAACCAATGGGAGGAGTCCCAGCAACTGTGTACAGAGGAATCAAACGATACTGGCGTAGGAAGGGATACGAGAGGCTAAATGGAACCGTCGCCTGCCGAGGAAGAAAATCTCGTGCGCTAGAACTGGCCGCTGTCGATGGTTCTAGCCGTCGACGGCGGTTCTGGAGGATAAAATTGACTCCAAGGCTGAAGCTCAAGCTCCGGTTCACGCCAAAGAAGTTTTTGTGCGGGTTGCGCGATGCATACGTGAATATGATGATGAAACTCGCGAACACTAGAACGATCAGCAATGGATTTTCAGGCGGATACGCTGGAGATGGAGTGACGGGATTCGGAATGAGACCGATGAAGGAGTATGATAAAAGGATGATTGTTGAGATCTACAAATCGATTATGATGGCGCAAGGTCAATTGGTGCCTCGTGATGCCGCAAGAATTGGCTCCGGCATTGTATGCCGACGGTAATAATTAATGCTATTTCGTCCATTCCACAAAATTCCAGGTCAATAAATTTAAATCTAGTTATTTTTCTTTTTGCGCAATTGAATCTGTATTCCTGTTGTAACTTTAACATTAACCATGGAATAAAAGTGCAACAAGAAAACTTCGAATTAAAGCGTTTTCATTAGCATGGCCGTCTAGCGTTAAAATTTGGCATATTAGCTCTTTTAAAAGAGTAATACTATTCATTAGTAGTCATTATTAAGCACCAATTACTGTGATAATTATATGAAATTAAATAATAAATTTATTTAAATATAAAGTCACATGACTCATTTAATTGAACTTATAAAATTGACAATCTAGAATGGTTATTTAGCACAACTGGTATTAGATAGCATTATTTTTAAAAAAATTATTTTATCTTAATTTTTGTCTAAACTTTGTAAATTTTGAATACCGTTTCTCTATTAGCAACAATTTCGTCCATTTTGACGGTTGTTGGATGAATACATAATCGTCAAACACTAGAATTCGATGAATTGGCCTTGCGATAGGAAGAGAAAGTTCGCAACTAGTGACAATCTAAGGATTGAGAGATCGATTGGAGATTGGAAGTGGGGATCACCAAAAATAAAATATTGTCTTAGACATAGAATTGTCGAGCTTGAGTATCGCTTGTCAAGAAATGAGATTTGGGGGTGCATTTTTGGTCAAGAGAAACTATTTATGTGATCAATTTGGAATAATAAAATTGCGTTTAATGTGGATGGGAGGTGATAGACTGATAGTGAAATAATGGCCACAATGAAATCACTAAAAGTTGACGGTCGTAGTTGTAATTGTGGGTTACACGAACAAAACTTTAAATGTGGGCCTTATCAAAATTAATTATTCTATATAAAGCCTAAATATGTTGGTAGGGATTAATTTAATGCCGCCGACATTTTAGGTTAATCGAAACATGAAACATGCTTATGTTAGTCAACCTAAACTTAATATTCCATCTTGCTAGTTTTCTGCAATAATAATAGATAGTGCTATTCCAATTTGCTTGTTACGTGTTAATTGTTCGATGTTAATCGAATTTGGGTCCATATTTCTGATTATTCATTAAAATTTAAAATATCAAGTTTTGATTACTGTACTTAGATCGACACTTTTTATTATTCACTAAAATTTAAAATATCGAGTTTTAGCTACTAAACTTTGAAAAATATTGTACGTTACTTACTAGCATAACTTTTGTCTCTGACATCCAACGGAATTGGTTTAAACTTTGAGATGGTCCAATTTTGACCACTAAATTTTGAAAAATATTTTCTATTATTCAATGAATATTGAGGTGGTCGAATTTTGGCTACTAAACTTTGAAAAACATTGAATTTTGGTCACTAAACTTTAAAAAACGTCTTTATTACTCACTATAAATTTGGATTTAACCACACATCTATACAATAAAATATTTTACACGTAAATTGAATTTTTTTTCAACCTCACATTCTTCAAAAAAATCACTATTTTTAGAACTCTTTTTTTTTTTTTTTAATAATGGCCATTAAATAGGGGCTAAAAATTCGTTGTTTAAAAAAATCGGGTTTAATTTAATTTTACGATAAATATATTGTGTGTTTCATTGTAACTAGTAGTCACTTTCCTTTGCATAGCTTTGCAAGCATTATCTATGCCATTAGGAATGATTACTCAATTACTTAGTAATTAAATTTAAATTTTATTTATTCTTTTTAGAATTTGAAACTATTTTCATCATAATATTTGTATTTTACAATGAAACACACAATAAATTTATTTGTTGTTAAATAAAATTAAATTCAAATTTTAACAACTAATCTTAATTAAATTCAAATTTATTGTGAGCCATTAATGACTTTTTCAAAGTTTTGTGGCAAAAACTTGACTATACTCAATGAACTTTGAGGTGGTTGAATTTTGGCCATTGAACTTTGAGATAGTTAAATTTTGGCCACTAAAATTTCAGAAGCTCGAGTTTTTAAATAGCGATTTAAAAAAAAATGTATGATTAAAAAATTAGAAAAAATTTTGAGTTCACATGTAAAATGTTTTATTAAATAGAAGTGTGGTTAAATCCAAATTTATAGTAAGCAATAGAAGATTTTTTCAAAATTTAGTAGCCAAAGTTCAACATTTTTTGAAAGTTAAGTGATCAAAATTCGACCACCTCAAAAGTTCAGTGAGCAATAGAAGATATTTTTCAAAGTTTAGTTGCCAAAATTCGAACATCTGAAAGTTTAACAATGTGACGGGGTGCCACATATGCATTTTGTTAACCACGTCATCAATTCCGTTAGAGGTTTGAAACGAAAGTTATGTGAGTCAAAACTCAAAATTTTAAATTTTAGTCAGCAATAAAAAACATGGACCTAATATCAATAACCAAGACTCGATATTTTAAAATTCAGTGACTATTGGAACAATTAACTCGATTATTTTCTACAATAATAATGGGTAGTGCCGTTAAATCCGAACATGATATATAAATTTGGAGAGTGTTTCTTCTACACATGGATTCGATAAGTATTTTTGACATATAATCGTGACTTTTAGATAAAGCAAATTCAATGGTCAGTATGTATTCTTGAGATCCATGAGTTACTAACATTTGGGTATGTTTCATCTAAAGGTGACGATTATTTATCAAAAATACTTGTCAAATCCATGTGTAGGAGGAACGCTTCCCTATAAATTTATTCTACTTTATCTTCAAGTCAAGTTGCCTTCTTTTTCTTTTCTTTTCTAATTTTTTCTCTCTCTTTTTTATTTAATTTAAAAAAGATAGTAATAGTTTTTTTTTTTAACAAAAAATAAATAAAGTTTTAGTTGGTAATATTTTATTTTTTTAATAAAAAATAAATAAAGTTTTAGTTGTGAATAATTTAGTTATTTAATACAAAAGTTGAGGACCTGCCTGCTCCATATTATTTTATTTATTTAAACTGCCCGTGGTGATTATCATTGAGTCAATTCTTCTTCTTCATTTTTTTTGGTATTTTTATTTAGAAATAGTTGGCCATTTTTCTTCAGCGTGGTTGCTTAGGAAATACAAGGTAAAAAAATGGGTGATACCAATTTTTATGTTTATAGC